TGTTTATTAGAGAGTTCTCAAATTTTCTCGGTCCAAATATTTAAGGACAACAAAAAGTTGCTTGCCAAAGTTCAAGATTTTTTTCAAAGTTGGCCCCATCTTGGTATTTTCCATGCAGGCGCGGATTTGTCAGCGCGGTCACTTTTTGACGTCATTGCATGCTTCTGAGATGTTTTTAATAGCGCAAAATACGGTTTTGAATGGCGATATTAATTTGAATGTTGATAATATTTTTCTTTTTCAAATCATTCGTATTCGTCAAAACAAATTTTATAGAGCTATTCGCCATCATCCAGGTCAGGAGATCTCATTTTTAACCTTTCTGAGTCTCTGACAGAGGATAAATCATTGTACGAGTCAGATCATGGAACCTTGCTGGCATGTGCCCAATTTTGGCAACGTAACCGAAGCATGATGGCGTCAGTATATATTTTAAACATTGGGGATCTGCAAGTGATTTTCCTAGATACTTTTGATTAGCGTATCGTTTTAATTTGCTGTTTATAAACTGACTTTCCAGGCATGCTCTGACGAACTAAAACTCAATAGGTATATGTTCTAAAAATATTGAACTGTTTCATACAGGGTGTATTAAAAAAAAGGTAATCGAACTTCAGCGCGCTATTGTATCTGAATTACTCTGCGTATGAACGAGATTTTTTCATATTCGGAAAGATCATGTTTTTAGCTGTTGAATGATATCTTCTATTATATGATATGATAATGATATATTTTATTATATATATATAAAAGGTGTCAGGTTTAACATTACTGGGCCTTTGACAGTGGATAAATTATATCATGGTTGCTAGCATCAAACGCACGCAAAGCCATTAGTCAAGGATCTGTTTTGTGAAAACACCTTATTTAAGGAGTTGGTTCAACCGACTCAAAAGAAAAGGTCTGACACCAGTTTCCTACAGAACAATAAGTGCTCTTTAAGACTAATACTATGTAGTCTCGAATTGTGGTACCAATAATCGTATAGTATATCTGGGGTTCTTTACCCGCTATCGTACTCGCATCAAACTCAACATCAAAACGAGGTTACAGCACTATTTACCGTTCAAATCTATATTCTGTGATCTAAATACCCTAAAAACTATCAAGCGATCAAGGGTTGGTCTGTGCTTAACATTTGTTAGACTATATAGCAACAAATCACGTCACATGACTTGTCACTGACTGCTTTTCGTCAAAAATCCGCTTTTCTGTCAATTTCTGTACGTTTAAATTCTGGTTGAGACGTTATTTATGGTTTGATTCACATTATAATAATTTATAGCAACACTTTTGGTCGTATTCTGTCCCATTTCGTCAAAAAAATTTATTTCCATTGGAAAACGTTGAAGAAATACCTGAAATCAGCGCATCTTTGTAAACTCGTACCCAGGCTCTTTGCTCGGTCTTTTTTGCTCTTCGCTACAAATAACATCGTTTTGCATACAAGTTTATCTCAAAGTTAAAATATTAATGTTATTTAACATGTTTAAATATTGTTTTTTTAAAAAAGGATACTTAGAGTGCTGCTTCTTTTTGTTTTCGATGTAATTTTGCTGGTGAGGATCTCCACGGAAAGTGAAAATGTAAGTTTTTAACACTGAAGTTTGGAAAATATAATATGCATATTAATATTTCATATATTTGTACATAAAAAAATGAAAACTAAGATAGGAACTATTTCACTGGGATATAAAAGTTGCCAGAATAATAAAAAGAAACTACATGGCTTCGTGGGATGTTTTCCTCATTGTATTTAAAACAATATTCAGCCTAGTGCCATAGTGGGTTATTGCCAAGTGGAGTTTTTAAAATATTGCACAAAACTTACAATACTTGCAATATCTGTGTTTGGACTTGTTATATGTTACCCACTTATTTTGCTAAAAAATCATTTGTACAGTGCACAAAATTTGTTGTGAAAAGTTTGTTTGTCTTGCTCAGATAAAACAGACATAAATCTCGCGAATGTTTGTCTTAAAATAGACCGAGATATTTTCTCGCCAAAACTACCTGTTGTTGCTTAACCTTGATATATAGTTTTATTGCGGCCAAAAAAACCCGAATGAAAAACATATACTTGTTGGATAACCAATTTATTCATTCGTCTTAGAAAGTACGTCCTTTTTCATGCATGCAATGTCTTGCACGGGAAACCATAAAACCCAAACTCTTTGATCTTTTGTTAATCGAGGCATATTCGAAAGGCGAACGAAGACCGAATAATACGAACTCCCAAAGAACATCAAATATGATTTCGAACGTTTTTAAATGTTTCGTGCTTATTTTGCTTCCTAAGAAACGTGAAAGGCTAACTTATACTAGAAACACGTTCTACTATAGGGACCAATATTCTATTTAGCCAAAAATGGTGCCAATTTCCGTATTTTTAAACAAATTTGTACAAAACTGAAAAACACAGAAAAATTGGTGCTTAAAAACAACTTTTGTGCAAAAAAAGAATACAAATTTTCTTCCCTTGCCAAAACAACCAAATTTACGTAAAATTAACAATACATTTTATAGACTGTTCTGAAAAGGATCAAATAATGCAAAAGTAGCATGAAAGCTAACAGTGAAAATATGTTGGGTTAAACCGAAGGTATCTCTGATCAATTTATGAAATCTATATCAATGTTTCGATTTATCGAGACTATGCCAATGTTTCGATTTATCGAGATCATGTGATTGTTTCGATTTATCGAGATCAAGTCAATGTTTTGATTTATCGAGACAATGCCAATGTTTCGATTTATCGAAGACCATGTCAATGTTTCGATTTATCGAGACCTTGTCAATGTTTCGATTTATCGAGACAATGCCAATGTTTCGATTTATCGAGACTATGCCAATGTTTCGATTTATTGAGACCATGTCAATGTTTCGATTTAGCGAGACCAAGTCAGTGTTTCGATTTATCGAAACCATCTTAGTGGCATCTAACATAACCTAAATCAACACAGTTTAGCAAAAAATAATATTCTATTCAACTTAGCATTATACACATAAATAGAAAATATATAAAGCACAATGTATTTAGCTGAAAACGTTTATGCTCAATATCAAAATGATACATATCTAAATAAATTCACAAACGAACCATTAAATAAGACACATCCCTTAATGAAATATAACCTTATATGCTATTAGATAGAGTAATATAATGAAAGGGCAGTAGGTTAGTAGGGCACATTTAAGTTTTGTACTGCAATGCTCCTCAAAATGTAAGACTGTAAAGCTGGATGAATGTAAAATATCACATTTATTACCATTTAAACTGCAAATGGTAATGTAGATTACCCTTGTAGAATCCGACATATTTATAACCTATTTTATACCTATTTTTTCTCTATTTAGCCCTATTTTTTCCGTATTTTTTCAAAAATATGTCTATTTTATTACTATTTATCAAATTTCATAAAATAGTATATGACTATTTACGCCCTATTTAAAATATAGGTTATATATATTTTTCAAAAAAATAGCTTTGAAATAGATATTCAAATCCTATTTGAAAGAGTAATTGACGGAATGTCACTATAAAATAGCTTTTAAATAGCTATTTAATTCCTATTGATGACAAACGAATCAGTTAGAATAGTTTAAATAGCTATTTTTAAACTATTTTTGCATATCTTCTTTGGAGCCATTCTTAACATAGTTATTAAATAGCAAAATAAATAGGTCTTAAATAGCTATTTGATTCCTATTCATAGAAAATTGTGGCGAACTTTGTTCAAAATAGCTATAAAATAGCTATTTTCAAACTATGTTTGCTTTTATTTTTGGAGATATTATTGAGTATTGTTAAAATAGTTATTAAATAGGAAAATAAATAGATCTTAAATAGCTATTTAATTCCTATTCATAGAAAGTTGTGGCGAACTTTGTTCCAAATAGTTATTAAATAGCTATTTTTAAACTATGTTTTCTTTTATTTTTTAATTTTTAGAGCCATTCGTAGAATAGTTATTAAATAGCAAAATAAGTAGATCTTAAATAGCTATTTAATTCCTATTCATAGACAGTTTGGTCAAAATGGCTATTAAATAGCTATTTTTACACTATGTTTACTTTTATTTTTAGAGCTATTGTTAAAATAGCTAATAAATAGCACAGTGCCTTTTTTAAGGAATTTTTACTAGGGGGAGGGGGAGGGGGGGCAAAACAGGAAAAAAGGCAGAACGAAAAATATGACCCATCGAAGTTTGGCGAACACGCCAGTCTGAAGAGAGATTTTGTAAAACTTGAATTTATTAACTTCTCCTATATAGACAATAACTTCAACCCTTTGTAGCCATAATCGTACAGCTATAACCAGTGGCGTAGCCAGACCTTAATTTTTTTTTTGGGGGGGGGGTTCGAACAGTCTAGGAGGGTCCGGGGGCATGCACCCCGGGGAAATTTTCAAATCTAGGGTCCTTGAATTCAAGCGATTTCAAGCATTTTGGGAGTGAAATTCCGAAGAGTTCCGAAGATTATAAAGTACATCGAAGACATGAATTTTTCCAGACATTTCTACTCGGAATTAAATAAATTGGAAAAGTAGATAAATTGGAGGAGACTAGGAGGAGGGGTCAGTGTCACCTTATTTCCTCTCTGTGATGCTGGGGGTGGGGGATCCCTATGTGATTTTGATCAGAAATGTTGCATTTAAATCATTTTCGGTTCTATGAGACACCATTTCCGCATTCTCAAAATTGCGTTGCTTTTTCATACGATACAGAATAAATCTGAGAAGAAACATTCGTGCTATGATGATGAATACATGTATTTAACAGTAAAAAATCTAAACTAAATCTATTCTTCTTGGAACCAGCATTTTATCGGATTGTTTGCATGAAATCTATCGCTATTATGAAATACTCGGTGAAGAACAATATGAATTACACACAAGATAGCTGTGGAGGAGGCTATGGAACGGCATAATCTCATTATCAACAGGGCCGCCCAGAGGGGGAGGGGGGCAAAGGGGGCAAATTGCCCCGGGCCCCGAGTTGCAGGGGGCCCCTGAAAATTTTTTGTTGGGCCCCAGCCTTTTTTGTGTGTTAAATATTTCCGCGCAAAGGACAAGATATCTGTTTTCTTGGGCTAAGTACCGAATTTTGGCATAAAAAAATGAGATAAAGTCCCTCGAAAAATTTTTTACCCCTAAAATGGTACACTGACCGAAAATATTTTGGCGACGGGGGGGGGGAGGTTGTTGTCCGGAAAAAAATTAGGGGCCCCTAAAAAAAAATTCGCCCCGGGCCCCCGCCAACCTCTGGGCGGCCCTGATTATCAAGTAAATCAACTGCAATTCTGACAGCAATCATGAGCAATTCTGCTTCGCACTTCGGGGGCAGAAATGGCTTTACTGGGGGGGGGGGAATTCTTTCCCTGGGGGGAAATCCCCCCCCCCAGATATATAGTTAAAAAAGGCACTGAAATAGCAAAATAATTAGATCTTAAAAGCTATTTATTTCCTATTCAAATAGAAAGTTGTGAGAATTTAGAAAGGGTAAATGTATTTATTTAACTGGTCAAAATTTCCCAGTTTGAGTTAGTTAATTTTAAATTTTTCATCAGTTCATTGAAATTATATTTACAAAAATATTTATAGTCTTTGTGGACTTTGTGGAGGTAGGTATTTTGTCTCTTGACAAAACAGCATTTTTGACAAAACACCATGCCATGAATACCACCAAAAATTCTTACGATGAGCGCAGTTTGACAGACTGGTGCCTAATTTTCTTACAACGCGCGCAAAGCTTTCTGGGATAGCGTCACAATTCACAACGCCATATTTTAAAATTTTTTTGTTTTAAACTTTCCGCTCGAAATGGCTCAAATACAGAGCTTTTATTGAGCGAAACTGTTATTTATTGTAAAGATAAAAGATCCGGGATGACTGGGAAACATCCAGGTAAGAATTTTGTTATGTTTTATATATAAATAGAGCAATTTTGAAAGGAAATAGTTACTATCTTCATTCGTGAATTTTGAGCACATGTTCCGGCTTAAAATTTCAATTTGCTGCGACAATATTTGAATTAAAACAACATTAGTTTTATAGAATGGCTTACATTTGACTCAGCCTTTATATTTATAAATGATGTTTATTGTAATGCCAAATAGTATACCTTGATCTTTGTGTATACTATAGTGTATATGACAGATTGCCAGATTCCAGTGTTTGTTGTATAAAATAATATAGCTTGACATGATGGCATCTACTCAATTCTCATATGCCTACCCAGGCATGTCCCAGCTAAACATGGTTTGAGAAAATTTATCGACTGGTTTCAAATTAACTGGTACTTTCACAAGTTTCCAATATTTATTCATATATAGGTGGGTGAGTTTAGGATAGATAAAAATATCAATTTGATGTGTTGTTGTCATATGTGGCAACTTGATTATAGATGTGTCCCTAACTGAAAACAGTTAAAGTCCTTAGTTTGCTTGTTCAAACTTATGAATACATTTAGTTAATACACCACATGTTCTGCTTAATAATATATGTAACAACCTTTGGGCTACATTTTATATATTTTAGAGACACCCCGGCAAGGGTTTGATTGTTTTTGGAATTACCCATCACTCCAATGAGCCCAATATTCAGCACTTTGTTATTAAATGTTATCTTGCCTAATGCCGGACAATTTTATTCATCAAGGGAAGTGTCTAGCTAGCGTACTAGACTCTCCCCATGTTTCATGTTGACATCAAACACTTCCTACTTAAGTACTTTGATATTATTATTTAACTCTGACATTTCATGCTAGACAATTTTACTTACCGACTTTGGCATGCTCGCCCATATCTCACCTAAATATTAACACCTATAAAGGAGCAATTTGCTCTTACCTTACTTACTTGAAGAATGAAGTTCTTTGTAGGGTGTGCAGGATAGAATGTTTTTGCTATGCAGCTCCATACAGGGTATATGTTGGATAGTTGAAAAATATCCAGCTAGATTCAGGGTATTATTCAAATATATAAATGTTTTTTCTAACCTGTAAAGAAGGCCTGAACTAGCTGCAGCTGAGCTTCGCCCTATTCTTGATGTTACATGATGTTCTTGCTTTTTTTCTGCCCTGTCCCCAGCCAAGTTACTGTATGTATATACTTAACTCTTTGGCTACCAAAGAGACTGCTAACTACAGATTTTTAACTCATTTATTGACAGACCTCTACCTACTGATAAGTAAAATTGTCTGGCATTTACAGACGGTAAATACTAAAGTAAGGTCCGTAATAGCCTCTGATGTTTCAGCACTTCTACACTTGTTCTCAATTTTTTTTACTAATTATATTTTATTTAAAGACTATTTACATTATATGTTTTAACTTTTTATTATCTATGTTTTAACTACTGGTATTTATAATATATTTTAAAAATATTTATAGGCTATATGTATTTGTATACACTATATTTAATAACTATTTTAACTGTATTAACAGGACATATTTTAAATATTTATTTAATATGTTATTACTATTTTTTAACTATTTTTAATCTATTTGGGCAATATTATATCCACTATTTATTATCTATTTTTAACAAACTGGGATGTATTTTAACTATTTATTATCTATTTTTAAACTATATTATCACTATTTTTGAACTATGTATTATCTATTTTTAAACTATATTATCACTATTTTTGAACTATTTATTATCTATTTTTAAACTATATTATCACTATATTATCACTATTTTTGAGCTATTTATTATCTATGTTTAAACTATAATATCACTATTTTTGAACTATTTATTATCTATTTTTAAACTATATTATCACTATTTTTGAACTATTTATTATCTATTTTTAAACTATAATATCACTATTTTTCAACTATTTATTGACTATTTTAAACTTAGTTGAAACTCATTTCAACTATTTATTACATATTTTATACCTATATTGTCACTATGTTTTAACTATTTCATACATATTTATTAACTATGTCGAAACTATATATTTTTAATAATTTCCTTAAATAGTTCTATTTTTATCATATTTGAAACCTATTTAATTTCTATTCGAGTACATCAATTAAGTATTTGTTTAGAAATATATCATGAATAGGAAAAAAATATGGTTCCACTTGGATAGGAAAAAAATAGCTTTTCTACCCCAATTTAAATAGGAAAAACCTCGAAAAAAAATAATAGTAAAAATAGGAAATAAATACTTTGACAAATAGGAATTAAATAGCCCAATAAAATAGGAATTAAATAGCAATTAAATAGTGTTTGGTTCTACAAGGGTAGTTGTGCCGAGCTCTGCACTTATTACATTACTCTGTCCAGTACAAGTTGACTTTACACTAGTGTTCTTTTTCTATATAAACATAACTAATATGTTATTCAACAATGAGTTCATCGTCGAGCATGTAGTTCCAGCCTATATTTTCTTTTCCTTATGCAAGTCAAAGGCTACAAGAAATATACAACCTGGCAAACATCTACCCAAGGTTAATTTTTATCAGCCATTGAAAAGACCATTTCTTGCCGACGATTCCTTTACGACAATGAATCTTGAATGAAGATCATCTAGCGTCACCAATGACTGGTTTGTTATATATAGCCTTCTAAATTTGAAAAAGCAAAAGATTGCTCATCAGCATAATCCTAAGTAAAATTGATATTATTAATGAATGATGATTATGGGTCAAATTAGACACATTTATAACAGTGCCTTGTATACCCTGGCCTACAGTTGCAGTTAGCTTTTTCTTAATGGTGCTATGCCTATTGATAGAACACCAATAATTTTCACAATGGTTTCATTAAAATTAAAATGCCCAGTCTCTCATTTCAACAAATCAACCAAGACAATCTGGAGTGACCAAGTGGTCTAATAATTTGTGCTTCATTACATGAGCAAAATGTATTTTTTTATGCTAATATTTATATTATGGCTCATTTGAACAGGCCATACGAATGAGGTTAAAATGACCAAGGTACATATTGATATTTGAAGCTGCATGTAGGGATCGCCCCTCAGTGCCCTCACCCCACTTATCCATTGACAATGTTTGGATGTGAAAAGCCTATTCTTAGACCATGTACAAACTCCTTTAACATTCATAATTCGATATTTAATAAGTTCAATGACTTCAATCAAGTGAGATGTCCAAACAAATCCTGTTATATTAAAATATTACACTATCAAAAAGCTGTCAAGCGATGAAAAAATTTTGACTTTGTAAGAAATAAATCAGTGCAGAGAGGCCAAAATCCTGTGAAATTGTTAACACAAGACAACATTTTTCTCAGGTATTTTTATATACACGAGTTGTATTAAAACCAGCAAAATAAAATTCCGTTACAATATAGCAATATAGTCCTGAGATAATGAGATTGTACTCTCTCTTCTAAGGAAATAAATAGCAATTGATGTAGTACGTACCTTGCTTGATTTAATCTTTAAGTATTCCTGCGTTGAGAAGTAATAAATATTCAAATATTCCGGCGATAAAGAAGCAGACGATTTGAATATTCGCAAATATGAAATATGGCGACAGGCAAGAGTCGTGGTGCGCAAAGCATATTGGCACTATTTTTTACCGAACTCGAAGCGAGTTGTCTCGATTATGTTCTTTTATGGACATCGTCGTGTTTCTTTTCATAAACAGTTGGTTATTGTTCGTTCTTTGGCGCACAATATCTATAAATTTTGAATTCGAATCGCATTCAACGGCGTATATTAGCGTTATAATAGCTATACTATGGTAAATCTTTGTGAGGACAGTGCTTGGATATGAATAATGAACATCAATATTAAATATTTAACAAAATTAAAGCTAAACAGTCGATTCTGTCGAAAGATCAAATCGAAGGGAAGAGCGTTGAATATTTGCTGCCAAGGTCCAGATCATGGTCAAGAACTGATCGAGGTCAAGATAGTGCGAATTTCAGGTTGGTAGATTTGTTTGAACGTTTGAAGCGGTCCCAAGAATATTGTTTACATTTTTAAAAATATATCCCTTCTTGTCTGTGTTTTAACTGTACAACATAGGAATGATCATCACTTCTACTCTTCAATATTCAGTAAATTTTTCTAGATTATTTTACTCTGTCTGACGCCAGTTTGATAATTTTATACTCGATGAGGGCAGAGTGCTGGCGCTCAATGGGTTGACCAGACTATTTCCCCATCTGTCTCATATTAATTCAAACAAGAAATGTTTAAATGTTCATATATTTTGCAACATGTCTGCCACTGGTCATGAACGTGTTTTGACTGATGCGCAATGGTTCACACTTCACATAGTTTACAGATACAATAAAAGTATATAAGGGCCCTGTACATAAGCCCCCATCAAAAAATCTTTACGAACGAATATAAGCCCAGGGCATATATTTGTAGGTTCACGGTATGCCATTATATATCTGATTCTCTTGTGTTCTTTGATTGGCAGTAAAAACTGTAATCATTTTAATGGTGTGTGTTCTTATAGTTTTTTCCATTCTTTTAGATTGATGTAAACCAAATGATATATCACTTTTGCATGCTGTAGTAGATCAAACACAAAAGAACCAGGTATAACCATAGAGGGTTCAGACCACCTGATAAATGAGATTGACAGTAGCACAGCTATACAAGAAGGTATATAATCAGTACCACGTAATGTTTTGTGAAGATAAACTCTTTTGATGTATTACATCGCTGCTGTGAGACTGGTTTATCTGCAGTGGTCTGCATGTTACTGGGTTCAAATACATTGTCGTGGGAAAGTTGCCTAAAGCAATAGTTATTAGGGCAGAAGAAACTCTTAAAACTGAATTTAGTTGTTACCATACCGTACTGTCTAATGAAGTGATTTTAGTCAATATAGATATATACATATGTTGTTGTTGTATATGTATAATTAATATAGCTTGCTATACTGTACACAGGGCCGCCTAGAGAATTTGCAGGGCCCGAGGCAAACCTTCCCTGGGGGCCCCATGACATTATTTTTAAGCTAGACCCAACTAAACCTTAGCTAGACTGCATGTGGAGGTGCTGTAAGTGGCCCTCAATTTCGAAAATGCTCTTTATAGAATTTATTCAATTTTAGGCTCTTGCTCCAAGTTGGGGCCCTATTAAGGTGGGGGCCCAGGGCAATCCCCCCCCCCCCTCCCTCTTGGCGGTCCTGGCTGTACATGTGATTATTGTGATTATAGCTAAATAGAATATGCAACCCTATCGTAGAATGTGTTATATTTTGAGTGTATACCATATTGCTAACCCATTGAACTGAATTGTGCCCTACTTTGTTGTTTTACTATCAATATTTAAAACATGGCTTGTTTTGGCAAGACATGACATCCTTTTCACATATTGAATTTGACAGAATGTCATTTCTGTGATATATCGAAACAATGCCATTTCTTTGATGTATCGAAACCATGGATAGTTTAGAGTTTTCGACATATTGAAAAAATGGCAATCTTTTGATATATCGAAGAAATGGCATTCTTTCAATATATAGAAGCCATGGATAGTTTAGTTTTCGATATATCGAGGAAATTGCAATCTTTCGATATATTGAGGAAATTGCAATCTTTCGATATGTCGAAGAAATGGCATTCTTTCGATATATCGAAGAAATGGCATTCTTTCGATATATCGAAGAAATGGCATTCTTTCGATATATCGAAGAAATGGCATTCTTTTAATATATTGAAGAAATGGCATTCTTTCGATATATCGAAGAAATGGCATTCTTTCGATATATCGAGGAAATTGCAATCTTTCGATATATCGAAGAAATGGCATTCTTTCGATATATCGAAGCATTGGATAGTTTAGAGTTTTCGATATATCGAAGGTGGCATGTTCTTGATATATAATTTTCACTGACTGTGGCTGCCTCCAGACATGTTTTGGAACTATAACATTTTCCTCTTTTTTTCCCTTTTATTCACATGCCTTTTACTCACTTTGCTAAAAACAATAAATTTTGCCCAAATTTTTTAGCAGTTTCTTCCTCTTAGAGATTTAGTATCATTTTAGTCATATCTTGCAACTTGGAAAAGCTAAAATTGTTGCAAAATGTGTATGTTTTTGCTGAATATATTTCCAGTCATTTTTAACATGCATTTGATGTGATTTTCCTGTTAAAACATGAAATCTGTCATTGTCCACATTTGCAATTATTCTTATGTTTTTAATCAATTTTTATCATGTTTGAAAAGGAATTCTTGTTTTCATGCAGAATTATTGCATTTATGTATAATTTCTCCACAGTCATGGCTGTATTCATTGCATTTTTTAGTGTTTTCTATCATTTTCCTCTCAAATTCTGTTAAATAGAATATTGGACCCTATAGTAGAACGTGTTTAGAACTTTACCCGAAATTAAAGTTGAGTTGAAATGCTAAAATTGAAATTGTTAATGTTTGTGGAAAATAGCAATTGTTTTCATATAAATTTGATCAGCCATGTTTCTCGATTTATTTACTCATTTTTAAAGCGTGCGCCCAATTCAAACATTTGCATCTCACGTAATATTAAATGAAATTTTTAGGGTTGTATATGAAAATCTAAGTTAGCCTTTCCTGAATACAATAAAATTTATTTGAGTGTAATAGATTTTATAGTTTTTACCTTCCACGAAATCAAACAGCGCAAGGTTTTTTTGGGACACCCGGTAGTATATTTGTAAACAAAGCTTTTTGATAAAAAATAGATTATTTTGTTTCCGTAGTCGGTCAAAAGCGATAAAATAAGATCAAAACTTTTATTTCACATAACATAATCTGTACACAGGTAATAATATGCAGCAAAAATGATTTCAAAAGGATGGATGACGATGGCTGGCAGCTCCTTCCAAAACCAGCTAAAAGATTGAAGAAACTGACCTGTTTCGACAAGTGTATTTTTTGCCAGACGGGTAATGCCAATCTGCGTGTTGCAGAGCCTTCTTCACTAGAGAAAGTTGTTTCTGCACTTAAGCAACGACAAGATGAGGTATCGTATGATAGCATGTGTTTTGTTTATTGCTTCATATTGTACATATTACGCAGCCAGCGAGTCTCCTAATCAAATCGCCCACGTAAACGCCTTCTGGTCGGCGTTTTTCTACGTTTGAAATATTCTTAAACATTTTCAGGTGTCGCAACGCCTCACACCTAATGATCTTTGTCATGTGGAGGGAAAACGCGTTTTGTGCCACTCGTCCTGTTACGAAGCATTCACCAGTAAGCAAAACCTAAAATTTTCAGAATCCAAAACGTCAAATAATCCTGTTGATGTCAAAGTTGGCAAACGATGCGGCACATTATTTGATTGGTCGAGGTGTATGTTCTGCAGGAACGCAACACGTAAGAAGGACAGAAATCTTATAAATATTGTCACCTTTGAAGCATGTAGCACCATAAAAGAATCTGTAGAAGCACGAGTGGGTCACCAACTGCTTGACGTACTTCAATCAGTTAATTATGATCTTATCGCAGCAGGAGGGAAATACCACAAAGCATGTCATGCTTCTCATGTCAGCAAAGTAAATATTAAACGCATGCAGCACGATACTTCCACAATTGATGAAAACCCTTTTGATGAAGCCTTTAACCAACTGGTAAAGACCATAACGACTGAAATAAATAAAGGCAAGGCCTACGACATGAACATTCTTTTAGCTATGTTTAAAAAGGAGTTAGAAAAACTATGCAATGCTGAAGAAAGCTACACGAAGCAAAAGCTGAAAGCGCGATTAGTGGCCCATTATAAGGAAGACATTATGTTCCACCAGCCACCTCAACAATCCAAACCGGAGATAGTGTATAGCAGTTCCATATCTTTGGTTGATATCATAAATGCGGCAATCAACTCTCCGCCACCAGACACGACAAGCTGTATATCCAAGGAAAAAATGAACGCATCCACGTCCGAATTCTTCGACATCTATGCTGTAGCAACTCAAGTGAGACAAGAGGTAATGAAATGTAAGGGCATTGACATCAATCCACTGGATATCAGTGATTTAAACCTCGATATTGCAAAAGAACTTCTTCCCCAAAATCTCTACTGGCTTTTAAGATGGATCATAACTGGACAGCAGTATAGCGACCGCACTTCATCTTCAAGTGCAAGAATTCCTGCAGATGAGCGCAAGATTATAATGGTCGCACAAGATATCGTTCACTGCGCATCACATGCAAGAGCAAAGCTTCCTAAGCACGGAGCGCGTGCCATGTCAGTCAAGCACATAACTGGTTCAAAACAGTTGGTAACTCTGTTGAACAGAATGGGTCACTGTTCTTCGTACATGGAAATTGAACAAGTGGAGACGGGCCTGGCCAATGAAAGTTTAGCGAGATCAAAAACTAGTGTTGTTATAATCCCAACTAACAAAAATCCTGGTGTGTGGACAACAACGATATTAATGAAGAGACGCTCGACGGGAAGAAGACAACACATGCAACGACAATGGCTATATACCAGCGCAAGCAGTACGGACCCAAGCCAGCACGCGTTGTGCACGCCGATCATTCCAAAAAGAAGAGGTCGCTGGATTCAACTCGTAATCTGGTTGTCATAGAAGAAGTGAATGTAGGTGGAAGGCGACCCACTCTTGCTGACTATGTAGGGAACGATGTTATCACTTACCCTCAATCTGACCGTCAGCTACCGTCCTGCTGCACGGCTGATCTCTGCTGGATGCTACTTCGTCTTTCTGATCCTTTTATGGTGTGCAACCAACAAACGCCGGAAGAGCAGAGTATACCAGGATGGAGTGGATTCAATGCTATTACACATCCTAGCTTACCAGTGGAGACTGTCATAGGTTATCATCCAATGATCAATGCAGAATCAAGCAATTTCAGCAACCTATACACCTTGATGAAACTGGCACAAAAGATATGTAACACCTTAGGACAGTGCGACTCAGTGGTCACTTTCGATCTAGCTCTTTATGCAAAAGCTAAACAATTACAAATGAAATACCCAGAGGAATTTCAGAGCACCGTTATCAGAATGGGCGGCTTCCACATCGCGCTAAACTATCTCTCTCTCCTGGGAAAGAAATATGCACAATCGGGCTTAGAAGACATGCTGATTGAATCTGGAGTTTATGCAGCTGGCACCACTTCAGTAATTATGCTTGGCAAGTCTTACAAGCGAGGGATTCGGGCGCGCAAGCTTACCATGGAAGCGCTCTTCAGACTTTTGTGGCAAGCTTTCGTGGAATGGCTGGAAAGGGAAGAAGTTGGAATAGAGAACGGGCCAAAGCAACTTATTCTCTGCAGAAGTAAAGAATGCCGGAACACAGTTAAACAGGAAGATTTCTTCGCGGATAATTGGTCGGCATTTCAAGGTTGTATCGAGCCTTTGATGCTACTATTTGACACTTTCAAGTTAGAGAGCAGAAAGAAGTCCAAGGTATTCAACTTCTGGGAAGATTATATCAACATGGTGCTGTTGCTCTTTCAGTTTGTTAAAGCTGAACGAACTGGGAACTGGAAGCTTCATCTCTCCGCTACTGCCGCGATGGTTCCCCATTTCTTTTCCATGGACAGGGTCAACTACGCTCGATGGCTGCCCGTTTACCTTTCCGATATGAACATGTTGGAATCGCACCATCCTGAAGTCTATCAAGAGTTCATGGCAGGAAGTCATAGTGTGAGCCGTTCGAAGCAACCGTTTGCACAAGTTTGGCCCGACATAGCCCTGGAGCAATCAATCAATCTGGATTCGAAGTCAAAAGGCGGCATAATAGGCATGCGTACCAACGAAAATGCGGTAGAGAAATGGTTTTTAACCAGTCATGAGAGAGCGGCAATAACACAAGAACTCAAAAACACGTGTGGGATACAGAATTGCGACAGGATCGGAACGCACAAAGAAGCAAGTGCGACAAGAGTAACAAGAGATGAAAACGATGTACAGAAGCTACTTGCTACGTTCAACGGTAAACTCCTCAGTGACCCTTTTCACATTCCTGATGACATTATCGACAACGAGGAACCGTTACCTTTGAGTAATCTTGCCACAGGTGTTGGTCTACCAGATGCTGAGGCTAAAAGACTTGTTGACGCAGCAGAGTTAGGAAAACAAAGCATGGAGGGCTTTGTTTCATCTAGAGTTCAGAGTAAAGAAATTAATTTCTGGGATCCAATTCATCAGCTCAAAATCAAATCGTTCAGTTCAGTGGCAAAGAATGTTACAATAAAGAGCCAAAAAGAAAAGATCTTATCCTTTAGTGCTGATCGCAAGCAGGGATATCAGGGATATCAATCTGAAAAGTCTATAATCAAAAAACAGGGATATCAATTTAAAAGAAGTGCTTTCTTATGAACTGTGCAGTGTACCGATTGCACTTGCACACCCTAACGGTAGTTTTCGAAAACGACTAAAAGCACCTTAATGCCGCTCTTAGAAAAGGATGTCAATTGCAGTTCAAGCCTGCCTGCTTCACAGTCTCCTTCAGCCTGTCTAATTGATGCAATGTCTCTTATACAGATGATCAAGTCTGCAGGGTGTTCAACGTATAAGGAGCTGTCTAAGAAGTACGAAGAGATTGTCTTGACCGCATTACACCGACCCAGCTGCACAAGAGTGGACTTAATTTTCGACCAATATCCCTCTGTTTCAGTGAAGGCTGACGAACGCACAAAGAGAGGGGAATCAAGCTCCCTAGAAGTAATCATCCACAGTGGATCAACGCGAGTTCCGAAGCAATGGGCGAAATACATTTCATACATTTATTGCCTTTTTCAGCGAAACATGGTTAAAAGAATCCGTTCCAGATGAAGCTATTAATATTACAAATTACCAATTATTCAGGCGTGATCGTCAACACAAATCCCATGGTGGGGTTTGTTTTTATATTAACAATACCATTTCTTGCAACCGCCTAACGGAGTTAGATAGTGATAATCACGAAGTATTGTGGCTAGCTTTACAACCAAAACGACTCCCACGAAATTACTCAAATATGATAATAGCTGTTGTGTACCACCCTCCAGATGCCGATTGTACAGGTATGCGTGACTATGTCCAATCTTCATTAGAATATATTGAATCTTCAATTCCTAACCCTGCAATCATTATTGCTGGTGATTTCAACAAATTGGACTTACAGGCTACTGTTAAACCTTTTCAACTAAAACCAGTAATTGATTTTCCCACCAGAGGTGCCAATATTCTTGACCAAATTTATGCCAATCTATTTGAATACTATTCACCTCCTACTAGTGCTCCTCCATTTGGCTTATCAGACCATCTAACAATTGCCATGTGTCCTGGAACGAGGAAAAGATCGCACGAACCACAATCGCGTATTGTTAAAACAAGAGATAAGCGACCCAGTAATATTAGAAGTCTTGGTCGATTTCTCCAGGAAATTCCATGGGACATTTTATCGTCCATACCCTCAAATGATCAAAAAGTATACTTTTTAACTAGCATTATAAACTATGGTTTGAACTTAATTATGCCTGTACGTTCAATAAAAGTCCACCCTAATGATCGACCATGGGTTAATAGCAATCTGAAATCACTGATAAATCGTCGACAAAATGCCTTTGCATCTGGTAATTGTCACTCTTTTTAAAATGTTACGTAATAAAGTTAATCGTGAACGAAAACGTTGTCGTAAGAGCTATTATCAATCTAAAGTTCATAATTTACGTAACACTAACCCCCGAGATTGGTGGCGGGAAGTGAAGCAGTTGTGTGGCACATCTAAACTAAACAACAAAAGTGTAAAAGACCGCCTTCATCAAGATTTATGGCAGGAGACAGACATAAACCTCAGTAATAAAATTAACAATGTTTTTATAAATGTGATACAGAACTATGTTCCATTATCTGAAGATACGGCTGTAATTATACACAACGATGAAACGCCTATTATTGTGACCGAGTCAACTATAGCTAGAAAATTGCAAGAAATTAATACATCGCGTTCCAGTAGCCCTGACGGTATTCCCAATTGGGTTTTAAAAACCTATTCGGATATTCTCGCCTCACCAGTTGCAAATATAATCAATTCTTCCTTTCAAAGCTGTAAAGTCCCTCAAATTTGGAAGCTGGCCGATGTGGTCCCCTTACCAAAAACATCTACTGTCAAAGATTTGGAAAGGGAATTACGACCTATTTCCTTAACTTCCACTCTATCAAAGATAGCGGAACGTCTTGTAATCGAAAGAGAAGTAAAACCAACTCTGTTAAAGGTTGTTGATCCCCAACAATTTGGCTTTATTCCAAATTCTTC